CGGGTACCTGCCCCACAAGGTGTGCTCCGCGGCTGGGGTTCGTGTCCGTAGGCAGTACCGTCAGCAGGAGGCTTCTGGCCTTTTTGTGTTGTGTGAAGTCTGGGACACATTGTCATCCCACTGTATTTTGCCCCTTCAAAATGTCTTTAAGGAACAGAAATAGTGGTGGATCCTTGCACTAACCCGAAAGCTGCTTCATGGCACACCTGTTTAATGCACAGAATTGAGAGGTACCATATTCTTTTTCCTGACAGGCCTAGGTTCAGATAGGGCTTATTGCCACGAAAATGGATTGCTGTACCAGTTGGCTTGGCATGGATGTGCAAACCATAGCCCTGTAGCAGGGCTTGGTTAATCGAAGCAGGTTGTCAGTACCATTTTGGGAAATGGTTGTATCTCCTTTACTTATTAAAATTTTCCTGGTATCAGAGATGTTTCTAGCCTAAATGCATGAAAATAGATCAGGAGGGATATTTGAATGTTGATGAGTCCAAGCTGGATAAAATAAATATCTTTCTGTGTACAGAATTTAGTACTATATGCAGTATGAGAATAAAAACAAATATTAAAAGCAGTGCTAATGACTTGAAGTAACTTTTTGTAGGTATCTGTACAGAAGGTTGTAGCTGAGCATCTCTGTAACAGAGATGCTTTTGACCTGTGTTCATTTAATTTTCTATAATGAGCAAGGATCCTTTCACAGGACCAGTTTCCAAAAAAAGCCAAGTGAGAAGAGTTGCAACGAAGATCGCTGATAGTATAATTCTCTCTTTAATTTTTGTGTGACTTTATTAATAGTTTTGTAATTGAAGGTGGTTTAGGTGAATACTCATTATTTGATCTAAGTCAGGTTGTGGAATAGTTAAGTTTACATTCTTGCTTATAACTTTGTTGATGTCTCTTGAATGGAAAAAAAATTTTACTTGAGCCGTTTGAGAGTAAAATCTGCTTGTCTGTAATCCAGAGTAATTAATTAAGGTCAAATTGGGAATGAGGCTAGAATAGTAATTGCTTGTAACAGTGCTGCCTTGACTGAAATGTAAGAAGCATGTAATTAATTCTTACCTTTAATTGGATAAGTTCTCTGAAGTGCTTTCTTATGCTCTTGTAGTTCCTGGATAACCTAGGCAATGATATTGACCTAAATTCTCCCCCTTGGTCAAGAGAGGAGGGTGCAATCCCGAATTTAATTGTAGGCGATGATAAATTTTCTGTAACTGTGTATTTTATTTATAACTGCATCTCTAGAAGCTAGTTATTGTCTGTGGCTGTGATTTGTCAGACCTTGACAGGAACTGATGCTGTTGCAGTAGGAAAGCTGCCCTGCCACTTGGCTCTTCATTTCTGCCCATATGGCACTATCCTGTGCAGATGTGAGCACTTGTGCAACAGTGTTGTGAGCTGAGCTAAAGAATGTACATGGGGTGGGCGCATGGGGGGAGGATTTATTGTTCAGCCCTGCAAGTGGTTGTCATCAGTATTTAAACTGCATTCTTGATGGTTGCCTAATTGCATGGGTGCAGGGTTTTTTTTAAATTAAAGAAAAAAAGAAAAGTTGCATATACTTTGGACCTAGTGGTGCTTTGTATTGAGAAGTCTTGTGAAGTGCTCGTAATAGTTCATTCAACAGCTGAACAAGTCTACTCCTTTCTTCTTTGCTTCAATGTATACCTTATCATCTTCACACTGCTGTTCCTTGCTTGCCTACAGGTTTATTTTGCTTTCTTGTGCTTACCTGACTTTTTCAGGTAAGAAATAGTGACTTCGAGCTCTTGGTTTGTCCTTGGTGTCAAAATGCCAATAGCTACATGGCCTATATGTTTCAAAAAACCTTTTGGAAGTGGTGGCTTTTCAGGCTTTTTGTGGATGCAAGCACCAGACTTAAGTGATTGTGCAGGTCTATAATGTGTCCATGCTGACTGACTCCAGATGTGTGTGGCAGAAAATAATGCATGTTGGAATATAATTACTTATTTTTTGAGGCTTGTTAGTTTGTTGACATGCCTTTGTGTGGTTTGAGTGGGCTTAAGAACTTTGAGCCGGCCTTGTTTTGGTATAGCCAGCTGCAGTCAGCCTTATTTTTGAAGAACTCTGTTTCAGGTAGGCTTATGAAATTGGTTAAAAAGAGATGTTATTGTCTCCAGCTGTGTCTTTTAGCTAGGTAGCCTGTATTAAAAGAAAGAGGGGAAGCACTGCTTAGTGTGGGATGGGGTATTTTTTTCAGTGTGAAGTTAGCACCAAAGAGCTTTCCTGATCTTGTTGCTGATGTTAAAATACTAGTTTCAAAACTGACTTCTTTTTTCTGCTACTTATACGCAGCACTTCTTTCCCAAGGAGATAAGCTCTTGATCCACAGAGTGCTTGAGTCAGGAAACTATCTTGAACACCTCTAGTGCTCTGGATACAGAACTGAGCATCCTTAGCCTAGACCTGTGCATCAGTGGTACAAAGACAGTGCCATTAGTAGGGTCTGAGTTTGGGTTTTTAGTTAATCTTAAAGTTGAAGGCTTAAAGCATAAAGGCTTCTGTTAGTGTAGCAGAGCTTGCAAGTATACCAGACTTTAATTGCTTCTTCGCTATAATGCAAGTTGCTAATGGCTTTTTTGTTATGTGATCCCCTGTATTTACATCAGTCCTTTGCCTAGATTGCAGTTCTGTCTTCTCAGTATTGCTGCCATCAAACTTGCAAAAAGATGCACTGATTTTTTTGTTTGTTTGTTTTTTTCTGCTGTCCTTTCATCTCTGAGCTGGGGGACAAGTCTACAAGCAGCCTTGAAGTGCACCCCTTTCTTTCCTTCTTGTAATAAAACGGGCGAGTCACATCCTTCTTACAGTGTGGCACACAGACGATTTGTCTGCTTAATGCATTATCTTAAATGAAGACATAGTTTTTCATCAAAGCTCGTGGCAGTGTAACTTGCAAGATTTGCCTTTATTTGACTGTCAGGAAAATATCCTCTTCTTTATCAACAAGTAGGGTAGACTTGATCCTGTTCAGTCAGGAAGCAATTGAGTAATGAAACTGAGAATGCCACATCTGAGTGTCAGAACCCTATATGCTGACTGCCTGGAAACAATGCCCTATGGGATTTTCAGTGGCCAATATTGCAGGTGCTATAAATTATCTGTGGAAAAATGTTTCTCAAATTTTTTTAATGGATGTTTTTACAGGTAGACCTCTTCTTAAGAGTCAGAAGTCCAAGTCCAGTTACTGCTGCAGGTACTGTTGCTGGATCATTTTTGTGCTTTCCTACTGGCTCCTTTCATTTTTGGTCATAATCTTTTCTTCTGATAGCTAAAATACATGTGTATGCTCACTGATAAGAAAAATCTTAGGTTCAACAAACTGCTGTAAGTGTATAGTGTGCTGCTGGAATATCCAGAGCAACCTCAAAGCCAGGGGCAGGACATCTGGTCAAAACTGAGAAATTAATTGGTCAGCTTACTGACCAACACATAGCCTTAAGCATTAATTTTCTATCTCAAATGTGGACTTCTCTAGAATACCAGGGTATTGCTTTCAGAAGAGATGGAGGCGGTAACACTTCAGAGTGACTTAATACTTAAATGTACTTAAATGTTTGTATTGACTTTGAAACATTGGCATTGAGTGCAAAATGGTATTAGTAATCTAAGTGTTGTAGCCAAGCAGACAATATGTAGGCAAATGGAAGTCATGTTCTCAGACCCTGCCTGTTTCTTAAAGGTATGTTCTTTTAAGAAGAAACTTGTTGTCTTTACAAAATCGTGAAATTGTCATACAAGTTTTTGAGCCCATGTGTGGTTCCTTTCCTCATCTGTCATGCAAAGCCACTCTCCAATGCTTAGCACCTTGTCCAAGGTTGTTCAATAGGTTCAACCTTAGGCTGCTGCAACACCACCCTAAACCAAATATTAAAATGTAGTCCCACTGTAAGTAAGTTTGTCCAAGGAGTTCTGTGGGATTTTTGTTGGGTTTGCTTCTGAGGGAGTATAGAATGGTAATGAGAACCAGTCTACTTTTTTCCTTTTCCTGATTTCATTTTTATTTGACAAAGGCACTGTGAACCCATAGATACCCATTAGGCAGGGGAGAAGTGTCTTTTTGAGGACAGTTACACTTGGTGCATTCAGCATGATGAAGTGGTTTTATTCAGTTCAGGTAGAAAAACAGGAAAATGGCATTGGGGTGCCCGATCTGTGGGCTAAATTAAGCTTCTCAGAACAATTCAATTAGCTGTAGCTTGTTTCTGCCACTCCTGCAGTCTGGAGAAGCCTTGCATGTATTGATGTGAATTGGATTTGTGGATGAAGAAACTGTTGTGGAGAAACTCTTTTAGTTAATTTCTTGTATGACCAAAAAGCAGATCACTCTGCCATGTGATGAATGTAGTTTATCCAACTGAGGATGTCTTCGTTGACAGGAGAGAACTAACTGCATTTGGTCATCTTGGCTTGTGTGTGTTCATGTGGCTAGACGTGCGTGGATTGATATGGTGAACTCTCATGATTTGGAGATTGTGCTTCCATAAGAAACAACACAGCTTGCTTGAGCTGTCTGCAGGTCTTTTAGCTGTTAAACATTTGAGCTCTTAATTTCCTAGAGAGATTTCTGGCTGTCTGATATTAATTTGCACCTTAAAATATCCTTCACACTAAATTTATTATTTCTTAACTAAGAAGATCTAAAACCATAGAGATGTTTAGAGTCTTAAGTTGCTAGAAGCTTTTTTTAATGAAAGAAGTGTTCTGTGTAATGTTTTTTCCTTGATTTGTTAGGCTGTTTTTTTCACAGCAGTTGGAATTACTTCTAAATGCAAGAAGGTTTTTTTTTTCTGTCTTTCTGAATAGTTTAAAAGATATTTTTAAATATTCAGAAATCATCAGTCTTACCATGGTATATACTGAAAAGCCATGCCTGTTAAATAAGAGTATATCTGTAATTTGAGCTTGTTGAAGGCTTGTGTCTGACCTAGGGTTTTGGTTGGTTTTTTAAATAACCCATACTGAAAGATGACTTGTTAAAAGTTTGTTAACCACTGTGGTATTGCAGCAGAAATCCACCAATATGTGTAGGAATTGTATGTTACATCAGAAGTGATGACTTCAGTTGTGTGAATCCTGGTCTACTGTAATTGTTTTGCAAAAGAATTTTGATGTACTTCCAAATCTAGAAGGCATTTTGACCCTTTGACTCAGATTTGGCAGTCTGGTTTTGTTTATAGGTTGCTTCCCATACTTAGTATTTCAGAATTGAGGCTTTCTCTTTTTTTAGCTGCTGTCCTCAGAGTTAAAGACTGTTTGGGTGATAGGAGTATAATTGATGCAGTGATATTTGTGGGGGTTTCTCAGTAGCAGTTCTCAGTAAACTCCTGGGAGGAAGAGAGGGTGTTAGATTTGGGGCAGATTGGTTGCATTTAAGTATCTTCGAATGTTTCAGATACACTTGCTTAAAAGTCTTATCTACCAAATAGCGGTTAGATAGAAAAGTGTGGAGAGCAGTTAAAAATTTCTGCAACTTGGAATAACAGAGAAAGGAAAAGCAAAAAAAAAAAAACCAAACAAAAAAACCATGCCAAAAACCCCACCAAACAACCAATAAATGAGATAAAGGGTGGCGGGGAACACCCAACAGTAGGAACTCTTGTTTTCATATTTAGCAATCCATTGGAAGAGATGGTGAACTCGTTACGATCATCTGTGCTGGATCTTTAGCCTATCATTTCACCTAGAATCATACATTCTCAATGTACAAGATAAAACTGACTGTAGCGTGTAATTTCCTTTAAGTGCAACTCGGCCCATATGGTGGATTTAACGTGTCAGTGATCTAGTCTTTAAATGTCTGCAGACAGTACCTTGAATTTTGTGTTACTTGCATATACAAGGTTTGGTAGTTACACTGTCTGCTTGCCTAGTTAATGGTGTTACTCTGAAATATCTGGTGTGCCAAAGTAGGAGTAATGATAAAGTTACTGGTGGCTTCTGTTTGGCAAAGGATAAATAAATGATAGAGAAATTTGATGTGGATATGCAGAGGGAGTATCTGTGTGTCTGTAAGGATCTCATAAGTTTCTGTCTAATATGGATCACGGCAGCCTGCTGACCCTCTGTCTTGAAATATTTTCAGATTAAATTGATGTTCTAGAGGTGTTATTGTATGATATTGTTGGCTGTAGAGAAAATATTTTTTCAAACTCTAATCTACTTTTAGTCTCAGAATTCACATGACTTATGTTTTTCCTTCCCTATAGTTGTACAACAGTGTTTGGAATGTTTGCAGCCATATAAGCAACGAGTTTTTTCTTGGTGAGTATAAGCATGGATCCTTGGTTTTGTTAATTGTAGCTTTTCTTTATGCTTTTGAAATTTTGTTTTAAAATTGAGGTTTTTATTAATTCTTGCAGAGGCACTGTGGATAATATTTTTCTAAATTAAGTCCTTATATTCTTAAAACAAAGACTGCGCATTTTCAGTTGGAGGAAAAAATGGCAGTTTTGCTGAAGTATATTTTCTTGAATGTTTAGTTAGGAAAAACCTGCTTTATTTCGTGTGACTTAAATCCTTTTCCCAAATCTTTTTGCTTGTTCAGTGTTTTAAGAGTGTTTGTCTTTTGCCTTTAGTGTGTTACAGGAAAAAAGAGGGAAAACCAGAACAGCTAAATGAGAGATGATCAAATGATTGAAAAGAATTTTTTCAGTAATGAGTATTTATTTCTTTAATTGCACTTGGTAATTCAAATAGGTTTTATTATAGAAAAATATTTTTTCTATTCTGTTGAATTACCCACGTTCATAATTTCTGCTTCCATGTTGGTCTGTCCCAGTCTCACCACCAATTTGACAGCACAGTTACATGGGATGTTGTTGAGAGGATGAAAATGACATTCTTGATGTCCTCTAACCATAGGGAGGGTGTGAGGATCTTGATCTGGGGAGGGTAACTTATTGCTGACACCTTTTCACTTTTGTCACTGAGTACTTTGAGTAAGTCTTGGCTTTTGACTGAAGAGGAGAGCAAATTAGATTTTTACCGGTGTCAGTTTTGTTAGTCTACTTGTATAAACTAGAGGAAGAATAGGAGTCTGAAATAAAATACTAAGTCTAATACTAAGGGAATGTTTCAGGGTTGAGGAATTAGCTGTACAGTGTTCTTGTTACAGAAATCTTAAGTATCAATTCAGGATCCAGTTTCACTGTTGTGTTGCTCAAAGAGTTTGTGTAGTTGTTGATTGAGTCTGGGAAACCTTGAAAGCAGGAAGTCAGTGCTGGTTGAGATCTAGCTGAGGATCCTACATGGTGCAAATAAGAACTGCATGTAGTCCAATGTTTTGTTTGAAATGAGTCTTTTAGATAGAAAAAGAGAGGTGATACAGTATTCCTTGGAATTTATTGTAGTGTCTAATGGTCTTCATGTCCAGTTCAAATCTTTCCTGTTTCTGTTCCTGTTGCATTAAAAAACTGCTTGACTGAAGATCTGAGACAATGTGTTTTGAAATACCGGTGCTAAGGACATCTTCTGAAACTCATGGTTGTGTCCTAAAACTTACTCATGTTGCTATGAAATGGTATGCATAAACAAAACATGAGGCAGGAGCATAGGGATCCTTAGATGAATAGTTAGTACAGAAACTGTTTGTGGATTAATACTTTAACAGGTGTGGGGTTTTATTTCTGTTTTTATATGTAGGGTAAAATACAGTGAGACATACTTAGTGCTAGCAACACTGCTGTAGGCGAAACCTGGTAGGCAGAATTTTTTTGTCTACAGGCAATAAAAGTCTGTTGTAATCAGCTTCCCAAGTCAGCGCCAAAACAATTTTTAAAAGTGGTGTTTAAATGTTTGTGAGACTTGTACTTAGTCTTCATAAGATGCCATTAGGATTGTATAATATAAATGGTGTCTGTAAATACTGTTTTGCAGTCTCATACAGCCATTACCTTTTCTCATCTGCAGGTGTGTGGTTTCAGCACAGCATGGCTGTGTTCATCCACTTGCAAGGTCTTCCGATTGTGGTGGGGACCATGGACTTCTCTGGATTGACCATTCCTGATGGGGGCGTGCATATTGTAGGGGGTGAACTGGGTGAGGCTTTCATTGTTTTACCACTGATGAAGATGTGAGGCTTGGTATCATGTATGCAGATGGTCTAAGTAAAAGGTCAAAACTAACTATTGCAGAGCAATAAAAACCTTATGTGCAAAATGTGATTGAACTTAGTCCTTGGTAGTTTCAAAATGGGCACATAGATACGTTAGCAGTTTTGGAACACTGGTGCTGGAGTGAATGGTAGAGTAGGCTAGGCTTTGTGGAATTGACTGTAAATGTGTTTTGGCATAGAAACTGCTTATACTGCTATATATGAAGGAGACAGAACAAGCTTGTGTCTTGTCACTTGTTTAGGAACTGCAATTCAAATCTTGGGGCTGCCTTCAGTATCCCAGTTCAGTTACACCTGTGCTGCATCTTCAGTCAACACAGGACAATCTCTTGCTAGTTACTTATACTCCCTGGTTTTGCCAGTGCTTCTTATTAACCTGCTACCTGTCCTACCGTGTAGTCCTACTGATTCACCAGTGACATAGAATGCCTCATAGGAATTGGACAGCAAGCTTACCATCCAGAATAAAACTTAGTACTATTTTGCATTGAAAATTTATATTTATGCAAACTGTCAAAGTTTACCATGCTCCTTCATGAAGTCAGAGAACTATGGTTTTTCATGGAGTTCCTCTTTCTCTATTGTGTTCTGATGGGGATTGGGGGGAAATTCCTGGCTTTGGCACAGATGCACTAAAGAGTGAAGGAGACAAGAGGCTGAGTTGTGGGAATGAATTGCCTTTTTTCTGAGCTGCTTATGAAGTACTGAATTGAGACAGTACTAAGTTTGGAAGTGGGACTGATTTAAAGGCAGGGGTTTTGGTGTGGTACTACATAGAGAATGGTTTAATCATACTTATCAGTGATTTGGACAACAGTGTTTGCAAAGGTAGGTAAGGTTTTGAAAAAGGTAGCAGTGATTATGTAGTTTCCAGAGGGGAAACAATAGAGGCTCTTGTTAGTGAAAGTTTGCCATAGCTGCTCGGTTTTGCTCTGTATGATAATATGAAAGATTTCTCCAGTTTCAAGAGGAACCGTCTTCTGTTGGAACTTAGTGATGTGCCAGGTTTGGGGCTCAGCACGGACAGAGCTTAAAACTGAAGAGAATAAGAATGGTTACACGTGCAGGTATACAGGACCCGCGCTGTTAGCAGAGCAGAAAACGTGTTTTAAAAAAACAAAAATTATGATCCCTGAAGGGATCGATATTAATGTAAGTGTGTTCTCTTCTGAATTGCCCTGATACAAATGTGCCTTCCTGATTGGTACCTCTAAGTATCTGAATAGTCTTTAAAAGCTAAAATACTTCATGGTGGCTTTTATGGGAAAGAAAAGGCTCTCCCTTTTAAACAGAAATGTGTACTTTCAGAGATGCAGATTTACAAATATTTTCTGTTGGAAGTAGTGACTTGTCTAAATCCTGGAGTATTTGTTCCTGAAACAGGTCTAATCCTCATAGTGGAATAAGAAGTTTTGGAGAAAAGCTGTACAGCTTTGGGGGTAGGCCTAGTAACTACCCCTTGTTTTAATCATGGTCTTGAGCACTTGAGAAAAAAGGATTCCCAGAGTTACTGGAGTGAAAAGCCTGCTCGTGTCTCAGTTTAGTTACCAAGTTAGTACAAATTCATTTTCTGCTGAAGAAAATTTTAGAAGAGATGTTCTGGTGAAGTATTCTTATTTCCGAGATGTAGCTGTGACTGTGTCTGATTAGTCTGGGGTTGTTTGTTAAACAGTCTGTTTTGATGTAGTTCAAAGTTCTTAAGTAGTCCTTGCAGGAGAGGACAGAGGCTGAAATATAAAATCTTGAAGCAGAGGCAGGCCCTTAGTTTCTTTCTGAGAAACTAAGTTCTCTATATGGTCAAGGTCATGCTGGTGAAATGTGGATGGGCTTTAGTGTTGCCTGTTGGCCTTGTTTGTGACGAGCTATGTGATGGCTCCCAGTGCAAGTTGTATCATATGGTTTTGGTCTTGCTCTAAGGCTGTATGTTTCAGGGTAAAATTGTTGAGGTCCTCTATTGAGTAATTTCTTATGTAATGTTCTACCAAGTATGCATCTGCTTGAGGAAGCTGTTCCTGAAACTAGCTGCAAATGAAAAAGATAGCCGGCTTTGCAAGGCATGCTGAGTATAGGGACTGCTGGGTCAAGTGAAATCCTGTTGCAGAACGTGAGTGAGAACCCAAAGCAGCCCAAGTTTCATAACTTGGGAGGGGAGAGGAAGGATGACTTTGGGGGAGGAGGCAGTGGTATGAGATTTTTGCCCATACAATTTCTCCTATTTCAACTTTCTGATCAGCTGCCTTGTAACAAGCTTGGCCAAGTTAGTGAAGTGCAGGATGTGTGTGCTCTGACAAATGCTGATGTTCAGCTTTTCTAGCTGTAAAGTGCACAGAGTTCAAATTTTTCACGGAATCTGCAGCTTCTGTAAACATGGTTAAATGGCTTCTGCTGTTTTTTCCAGACTTCCCTTTAGTTGTGATACTTGTTTTTTTAATGTTTGACTGAAACTATATAAAGGCCTTCCTCACCAAAATTGATGTTTATTTATAGAAGCCCTATTGTATGAGATCCTGTTACTGAAGTCAGGAGATGTGTATGTTCCTCTTCAGCCTCATGTAGGTGAGCTGAAATGACTCCCATTCTTCAGGATTGCAGCTGTTACTGAAGCGGACCACTGCAGAGAACTTAAACAGTGTACTTCCAGTACTTTTAGGAGTACGTTGTCTTTGTGTGTCCCTACTTAGTGAAAAGGAGAAATAAGTTTACTAGCACAAGAGCCATCTTGCAGGTGTAATTTCTCCTACAAGTGTTAAGCAAAATGTCTCCTCCACATTTGGAGGCATGAAATTCTGTTGCTAGTGTGAGAAAGTGGTATTTTAATGATGTAAATCTGCAGAGAAGATGATGGATGTTTGAGGTGTGGGTGGATAAACTGTTTAAAAAAGAGAATGTAGCTTTGTACTGGCTGTTTGCATTTCCAGATTTTTTTTTAATTCTTACTGTTTATTTTTCATCAGAATGTAAAACCCCAACCATCCTGACTTTTCCTTAATTTCCTTCCCCCTCTCCTTTCCCAATTAAAAGTTAGGGAGGTGGTAGTTGAATCCCTGCCCCACCCCAACCTCTAGCCATATTAAAAGACTGAGTCCTGGACTGATTCAGATCCATGCTGGGCAAACTCAACAGTTTGTTACCAGATACTTCAGAAAAGTAACTTGCAATGTTTCTTGGTGGCTAAAATATTGTTTCTTTTGGTGTGAAATCACTGTGTTGTGAATTGAGCTTACAGGCAAGAGCATTTTTTTTTTCCCCATACTGTTGCAGGCTGCTTTAACAGTAGTGCAGATGAGTCTAAAAGCAGTGCTTTAGAGGAAGACAGCAGATCATCTTCTGGTAGAGAAGTTTCTTTGCATTGTGGTTATAATACTTGAGGTGGTGGGGGTGCCTCCATGGCCAGCCCTTGGCAAATGGCCTGGTTTGAAAAGTGTGTCGATGGAGTAGCTTTTCCCTGCATTAAAAGCTTTGACTTTCCTAAAGATCTTTGATTTCTGAACCACACTTGAACTTCAGAGTAGTTCTTCATAAAATAATGTTAATCCTTTTATAGATGCAGTTCAGTATCATTGCTGTTTATGCGTTGTGTGAACCAAAATGCTGCTGCTTATTTCTGTTGCCAGTGCATGTCTCCCTATTCTTGTAGTGTAAGATTAGAAGGTTTTTTAATTTCACATGCGTCTGTTTTATACATCTTTAATTGAATCTTCAAGATACAGCCTTACTGTAAGGAGGACAGTATTGAATAAAACTTGTATTTTTGGATCTTGTGAGCTTGAAGACTACAGGAACGGATCGTAATTTGTATCTTACAATTGTGGGAAATGACTGACAAAAATTTGGGAAAAATAACTCCTGATCAGGCTTTTTCACTAAATGTACCTTGAGAGAAACTACTTTGGCAAGATTTCTTAAACCTTTCTATTATCTGTTGGAAACATGTCTTAATAAAGACTGTTTTTATTTTCTGGTTAAAATGGTGGAGAATTGGCAAGAAAGCAATGCAAATATGGATGCAGTATAGACAGTCTTCTAAAATTGGTTAAAGAAACTATGTATTTCTAATATCTTTGAACTGTATTGCATTTTTAGTGATGAGGTGACATAGTGTTCTTGAGTGTTTCCCTAACATGGTAGCTGTTGAAAGATTGTTACTGTGTGTGTTTTTGCCCACTTCCTGTTTATTGGATTCCTTGTTTTCATCAAAACTGGGAGGGGGGAGAGAATATTATGAAACTTCTATCTCAGTTGTGAATAAACATTGGGTTGCAGAGTTCTTAATTGACCTGGAACTTGGACTGCTGGACAAAGGTTGAGCTTCAATCTTTCATGGTCCAGTAGCTACCACTTTGAACGCTTCTTTTGAATGATTCTGCACACTGTCACTTGGGAACCTTTGTTTAATAGATAATTGCCCCCATTACTTTCTGCAAACCAAAAATACAGGGGTCCCTTAACATCTAGCTTTTGGGGATTATGGTACATAAGCTTATTTTGTGTATGTCTTGATTAGTGATTGATATTTAATTGCATTTTTCAGGGGAATAAAATCAGCAGTGTTGATATTACAAAATGACAAAACATCCTCCGAATAGAAGAGGGATCAACTTTGAGGTGGGAGCCCAGTTGGAAGCCCGTGACAGATTAAAAAACTGGTATTTTTTTAAAACCATTCATATTATATTAACTCTAAGTCTTTAATATCTTAAACATTTTGTATTGGTACAATATTTAGAGCCCTGGTCATTGGTTTGTAGGAAAGTAGTTAATTTATAAAAGTTTATATACCAGTGGTTCAGATGGGCGATAGATGCTGATATGTTGTGCTGGTCCTTAAAAAGAAGTGTACTGGTGCTATCTGTATCTGGGAAATAGGACCACTCATAAATCTAGTGGGACTTCAGACTCTGATACTCCTGAATTCACACTTCAAGTTCTGTGCAATACACAGATTGCAGAAATTATGGAGAGAGAAATGCTTCGCAATACAGAATACCCAATGTAGTTCCTCACTACTTGCTTTCCCATTGCTGTTGTGAATTCGTAGGCTTTAAAGTCTGATTGAAATTGTTACAGCCTGTGCTCATTTGAGGATGGTCAGCTTTAGAATTAAAGAAGTGGGTGAGGAAATGCATTCCACGCTAAGAAGTCTGTTCTGGAGCTTGTCTTGCAGACTTCAGTTCTGAGGAGGAACACTTTTCTTGACTAACCACTGTAGTAGGAAGGGGAAAAAGGACCTAAAAGTTACTTGGGCTAACTTTGAGCCTTCTAACTGTTTATTTTAGGAAGTCAGCTCAAAAATTATCATTTAATAATGCTCAGTCAATGAAGCATACAATGAAAATTGCAGGAGTCAAAGACTTCTTAAGTACAGGAATTAATTTGGTTTTGTTAGCTTCTTAAGATATCTTCTTTCTCCTGAAATCAGCTATAGTTGACTCTTATTTAAGAGTCTGTGTGGGTTAGACATGATTGTACTTCAGGCTCTGGAACCTGCTGGCAGGTTAAGTGTGCAGAAGTCACCGTGTTGAAAACCATCTGGACATCCCAGAAGGATGGAGCACTGCCTTAGACACAGGGGGCTTGTTCCAGAACATCTTGGTTGCATGCGGAGTATTTCTCTACTTTCCAGGTACAAGGGAATTGGAATTGTGAAAATGAGTAAACATAGCTCTTTATAGAAAGAGCATGAAGTACAAATGTTAAATCATACTTGCATGTTATGTTGGCTTTCCTGTTTAACCAAGAGTTGCGTAGGTAGGGCTTTGATTTGAATCTGCATGCATGTTTTGTATTCTTGAGCTTTGTTTATATAGAAAAAAAAATCATGCCTACAAAGAAGAGATTTCTTAGCCTGTCTGTAATGTAGGCTTATTAAAGATGCAGTTCAGTATAGATTGTGTTTGAGTAAGGCTAGTAACTTGTGTCCATGACTATTATCATTCTGACACATTTGGACAACAACAGTACCTCAAAGTATAGGTGTACACAGCTCCTACGTGGGAAAACTTTGAGGGGGGGAATTCAACACCCCCTATAGTTTCCACAGATCCCTTGTCTTAAATTTGAATTTTGGATATGCTGCATGTCCAAAACTAAGTGGTGGTGTTTGTTTTTAAAAACACTTGATCTTAAATGACCTGTCTTATGCACAGTGTTTTGCAACTCTTTGATCTCACAACTAAACTTTCCGAACTGGAGAGTTAACTTTCTTTTGCTTGCTAAGCTTTTGAAACCTGGGTCAGAAAGTCCATGTTACCTTGACTGGTGATCTGTGTATTTCTGTTTTCGGGGTTCATGAACCAAAACTTGTAAGAGCTGGGGGCTTATTCTCTCTTAGCAATATCAGTGGTGACAGGGTGACATGTCCCCAGGTGTGGATTTGTAGAGGACAGCAGACTTCTTTTTCCTCTACTACTTTCACCTGCTGCTGTGTGAACAGGACCACTCTATGGTGTGGTAACAATGTTCTTTTATGTGGACATAAAACTTTCTGTTTGCTGATACTTGCTTTTCCCAGTGCTAGACCTTCAGAGCTCCGAGCTTTTCTTGTGTGTACTTTTGTTGCTATGTTGGCACTTAAACATAGGCAGAAGTCTCTTGTTTGATTGGAGGGCTGGCTTTGATTTCTGTGCTTAGTACCAAACACACCAGTCAATTCATGGGCCAGTATTGCTTCTCAACAGCAATAGTGCTTTGGAAAGTATGCATCTTGGAGCCCCATTTACCTGTCTTTCATGGCAGTGGCTTGTGCCCTGAAATGTTAGTTCAAGACTTCAGGGTGTTTGGATGTGATACCAACCCTGTGAAGAGGGAAAAAAAAAAGTGTATGCCAGCAGGGTAGTCAATGCAGGGTCTGCTCCCTGGCAAAGTGAATTTTGCATCTTTAGAGCTCTTACTGAAGGTTGCTTTGTTGTATCTGGAATCATAATGTACTGGAAGTGCACTTCAATTCCTTGTGCAGTCGTCTGTCACCTCTTAGGCTTGAACTCCAGGGTGTACAGTGAGTACTTTTGGTGCTTGGCTTAGTTCTTAGGACTTGGTTGGCGCATCAAAGCTGTTATGAAAGGCTTGTGATAGTGTCTTGACCTCAGAGCACTAAAGGGGGAGAGCTCTGGTCATCAGGCAGTGCCTTTGTGCATGCTGAAAGGTCTCTTGGTACACAGTACTGGAATTCAGAGGATGGAGTAGTGGGACTGCCCCAGCAGTGCAGTCCTAAATGGAGAGATCCCAGAGAGGCTAGCTGTAACAATGTACATGCACACATTGTCCTGGCTGAATTGAGTTCTTGAAACTTTTTGCATTGGATCATTTAAGCTCTTCAGCGCTGGCTAGCTGCAGACAGCCTCTCTTACTGAAAAGAGGTTGTATGACTCTGCACTGAATGCCTGCACTAAGCAAATGATGACACCTCTTGTGTTAACCCTATTGTAATGACACCTCTTCAAGTTCTTCTGTCTGTTGTGCAAGCAAAATGGATATGAAGAGACTTTTGATTCTGGTTGATGCTCTTGAGCATTGAAAACAAGATTAGTATTGTTAGAGTATTGTGCTACCCTGTTAAGGTTTAGATTGTCAGTGCCATGAGTTTAATTGCTTGTGCTGTTAGAACTTTGTCTCGGTGCTGGAAAGATGTAACCCCATAGCTGTTGTCCTTCATAGTACTGCTTCTCTTAGATGCTTCGTTTCCTCTCAGCATTGCTTTGACTGCAGTAAGCTTGTCGTTTCCTAGCTCTGAGAGAGGGGGGGTTTACAGCAATTCCATTTTGCTATATGGGAAAGGAGGAGGGAGACACACTAGTCTAGGACTGAGAGATAAGAACTCCCTCAGTCAGCACCCTGATTTTTGAATTTCGAGATATTTACCTCTTTCCAGAAGAGGATGGTTTTACACTCGTGTCTACAAGAAACCCATTTTCATATTGTTTGCTGTGCTCTGACAGCAGAAGTCTGAAGTTGCCAGTCATTGCTAACCCCTGTCTGTTGAGAGTTACACTGGTGGGGCTTTTGATTGTTGCTTGGGTTCTTATCAAAACTAATGCCAGCAGTTTGGGCATCTTGGATGTTTTCCCTTGCTCTTTAGCCAGTGGAAAAGGCCTTGAAAGGTACTTGTCAATCCTTTTGAATTGAGCTGGAAAACTACTTGTTTTGGCCTCCCAATATATTTCAAGACGTTGTGTCTGATTTCAGCTTATTTTTCACAGTGTGTTAGGTAAATATTGAAATCTGTACCTGTTGGGGATTTCTTACACAGGATCGGTTAGCTGTCTTGAAAACCCGTGGAGTCAGCTAAATGCTTCCTTTGTGGTTTGGGAGAGGATGTGTTGGACCATCACTGGACACATGGCAGTTGTACTCTTCTTTTTCAGGCCTTAACCAGGCTTCAGCTATTTGCCTTTCGCTTTGTGTGTCCTCACATAGTATGTTTTCTTGATAAACAAGTCTGAACTTCTTTTAAGTTACCTCTACCCCTTGGCATGTTCACAGACTTTTTGGTGCATGTGTATGGATATGCTTTATCATTCCTCTTCTGTTATAGATCTGTGAGGACTTGTACCTCCTGATGTGGCATGCTTGCTCAACACTTTGAAGGCTAGGGTACAAATGTTGGAGTAAGGAAGCTTGCACTGTCAATGTGTGGTGCTCAGAGCTGTTGACAGCCTGTGAACCTTTCTTCTTTGTTTTGAAGTTGCCAGTGTTGTGTTTCTGAATGGAAGGCGATATCAGGGAGGGGGCTGTCAAAGTTTGTGGCTAGATCTAGCACAGCTTCTAATAGGTTTACTGTTCCAGTCAAGAGCACCGAACGAACATGTTTGCTGACATTGATTGCTTCAGAAAGAGAAGATTTGTTCAGCCTTTGTAGCATGTAATTCAGGAGCTGGCTGAGAGCTCTAGTGCACCCACACCAGCTCTCAACCAGGCTGAAACTTGGTCTTGTCAGGCATGTTTTTCTTGATGATCCATCAGCATCTCTCCCCCATCAGGGAGTCTTTAGAAGGTGAGGTGGCATAGGTGCAGATGATATTTGTGCATGGTTCTAGGATGATGGTTCTTCTGGTGGAGAAGGTTTCCCCTTTTACTGGGTTATGAAGCGGGGAACAGTCTTGCATCATAGAGTTAGTTGGCTCTTGTCACTTGGGCAGTGGGAGAAGGTGGATTGAGTGTTTACCAGAGGTGGTTATCTGCATGGACTGGATTCTTAGCATAATGTTGAGTCGGTACTCTATCATTTTTATCAGCTTCCCTCTTGATCTTTGAGAATCTGGAGAAGCCCTAGGCCCATTGCAGTCCTGATGGCAAAAGCGTCTTTCTGGGTAGTCTCTTGTTGAGAGGAACTGGGAATTCCTACCCCTGTTTTTGCTGCGCTTTGTAGGCAACTGGATACTGATTTTTGTCATTACCAGTAATTAGTGATAGGCAGTTGCTGAGATATCGAAGAATAAACTACATTTAATAGAACTATGTTGTTTTATGTGGAAAGACTGTGAATATTATCCCCTCATGAACCTGTGCAGGGCAGTGCTTGGGGTTACCTACGTATGAAATACGTTGACTGTCACACAAAGGAAGTTAGTTACTTCCTTCCTAGGAAGCTGGTAACCAATTAGTTGTCCCTGCCATAAGTATCTCCCATTTGTGTTCCTCTTCTCCACAGCCTTTGCTGTATGTGTCTTGATAATATATTGGGATGAACGAATGGCATATCTTGAGGCATGTGGCATTGAGTGTTAGGCAGGGCCTTAGTCTGTGGTTGCAGTGTAAGTCTCTAGCATGGCCTATTTATATCTCTTTTGAACAAGTCATGACTAGATGTCTCAGATATGCTGGAGAATTTCAGTTGTAGGTAGCTTTTCATCTGTGTAGGATTGTAGAATGGTAGTCTGCATTTAAGTCTTAATTCTGACGTGTCTGGGTTTTGTTTTTAGCATCAGGCTTGATTCTTTCGAGATGCCATTTCTTTCTACCACTTGTTCTATCTTTAAGTGTGATTTACCAGGTACAGAATAATTGTGGATTTGGGTTTCTTTTTCTTCAGACTTCTGTTGAAGAATTCAGTGGGGCCTTGCCTTTCTTCCACAAATAACTGAAAACACTGACAAGTGAAGATTTCCTTCTGGCACTATTATTGAGGAGTGGAAGATGTCAATACTTGGGATGTTACCTTCAGTTGGGATAGTGAAATATGCTATTATTCTGAAATACTTACTGAAGTTACAAATTACCAATGCAATTAAAGAAATGCATAGTTTATAAGGTCTTCCTGATTAGAAACAATGGGATTTAACTCATCTCGGATTCCTGTACTTCTAAAATACTGAGGGATTTTTATTTCAGTCCTAGGACTTTGCAGATGAAATTTAACTTTGGGAATCTGTAGTTTAAATTAGGTTTAGCGTGCCTGCTAGACTTTTGCTGTTATGCTGGGAAGATGATTCATGATGCCTGTTGATGGATCTCTCTGAGAGAAGTGAGTGTATTGACCTCCAGGTGTTATTCTTGATAAGAGGGAGATGAAGCTATCAGTTTTCTGAATATGTGAAATTTCTAGGTGTAGGGAAGGATTTTCTGACTTCTTGATCTCTAGTTACATTTTTTTTTTCCACCCCAGACTAAGAACTCCTTAGTTGTCTCTTCTTCCTGCAGCCAATGTTTGCCTTTGCTGTTCAGTTTTGGGATTTGTCCTGTGCTGAGCTCTTGGTAATTTTGTAGCATCTTTATTGCTTATACAAGTGATATATCAAATAATATCGAGATTGTAGAAACTAAAGGTTGTTAGGTGTAGTTACTTGGCTCCCCATCACACCTGATCAAGCAGATCTTCAGATATTTTGCTTTTGATCATGCAGAAGGCTCCATTTGTGTCATGTTTTGTACTATATTTAAGTGTCTGAGACAGCTTACCTTATTCTTAATTGAAATATTTTAATCTACCTTTTGACCAGGTATCCAGCTCACATTGAAGAAATTGATTATGAAGAAGGAAAAGTACTTATCCATTTCAAACGCTGGAACCATAGATATGATGAATGGTTTTGTTGGGACAGTCCTTATTTGCGTCCCTTAGAGAAAATACAGTTAAGAAAAGAAGGATTACATGAAGAAGAAGGTTGTGCAGTAAGTAGAAAATAGAGGACATTTGAGTATGTTACATTTAACATGCAGTTGTATGAATTGTGACCATCAAAATGCTTTCATTGTTGCTGTGTTGCCTGCTGTATAAGTTTTATGATTTAAGTATTGGAAAACTAATAATTTTGCTGTTTTGATGAAGTTGTATGTTTCAGTAATTCTCAGATGAAAACACTTTTAACTCCTGTCTTGTAGGGATTTCATATAAATGATCAGGTATTGGCATGCTGGTCTGATTGTCGCTTCTATCCAGCCAAAGTTACTTCTGTTAACAAAGATGGTAAGGAGTCACTTTTGGTTTTGTCATGCTTTTTAGTAATGCATTTCTAATTGCATTCTAACCTTTTTGCTTAGGTGGAGACAGCAGGTACAGCAGACAGAAGACAACTGTGAAAAGTTTTATTTTCAATTATATGTTTTACTCTGCCCTCAACACTTTTAACCTAAGCTCTTACCTTTTTCATGAGATAAAAGAACTTTCTGCTGGGATATCCAGTCAGTAATTGCTTTAAGTATATATTTTGGAGAAGTTGTTTCTTAAGTTTGTTGTCAAGAGATGCATGTAACTGCAGTAAAACTAGCGTCAGAGCTGCAAAAGCCCTTTACAAATAGGGAAGAAAAAAAGTACAGCCATGCTTCTCCTTTTCGAATATCATTAAGGAACCATGAAGGACTTGTTCTTGTGCTGTGCTTTCTTTAGATTGCCTATATGTTGTAAGATCAAGGAGAAAAAGTCTGTAATTATCTATTGGAGTATTCTACTAGAAATGTTTTGGCGTTTTGTGAGGGAAGTATATCTAAGGAGCAACTCTAAGCTTAGACATTCAGCTTTATGCTTGCCATAATTATTTTTGGTAACTTCACTGTTTCTTCCTTACCTGGCCTGTGATAAGACCTCTGCTGTTGCAGTTTTTAACACAGATAAGGCAGCTTTTACCTAGAGCTAAATATGCAGCTAGAGTATTGGAGCTGCTAGCAAATGCTCTGTTAACTTCTAATCTTTAAACTCTTATGCTTTATTTTCAAATTTTAGGTACATACACTGTGAAATTTTATGATGGTGTAGTTCAGACTGTCAAAAACATTCATGTCAAAGCTTTTTCCAAAGATCAGGTAAGTATTGTGTTCATACTACTAGTGTGTTCTAAAATTGACAGTTCAGGTGGCTAGATTTGATGAATTATAAAATATGAAATTAATGAAACATCTCAACTGCTAACATACAATACATCTGAAATAAAATCTGTTGAAAAGGTTATGCAAATCTTCATGGTATGATTTGCAAAGCTCTCAGGCTCATGTTCTCATGAATGCATCTCTTGAACTAAAGTTGTCATAGGCATACAAATAAAACAGTTTTCTAAAAATCATTGGAAGATTCAGAATGTACATACTAAAGCTAGCGGTAGGTTATTGAAACACACTTGGTTTCACCTGTTTGAGATTAGTTTAAACGCATCTTAAAAATTAAGGGATGAGAACTATGGAGTTGATGGAAACTATTCTTTCCCAAAATAACTACTTGATTGTCTTGAGACTTTTAAGGAAGCTGTCTGGTAATCTTTCACCTCACAACTTTGAGAAGATAAGCTTTTTTACTAATCCCATATTCTGCTTCTATGGTCTGGTTGTTCTACCAACTCTTCACTTGCTCAGCGCTGTAGTTTCAACAACCTTCAGCTTATGATGGAAAGTAGTAGTGAGCCATTCTTAAAAAAAAAAAAAAAAAAATTTCCTGCTGATGGTGAGAAGGAAGAAGTGCTGCTTTGTACTTCAGTTTTCATGTGCGGGCACTTTGTAGGAAAGGCTGACAAGTTCTAGTCCTGTATAACTTGGTTAAAACTTCTTAAGTACCTGCTTCAGAATAATTTTCGTTACAGAAGTGGTTTTAAGTTTGAGATCTTGCCACATATTCCTGTGTGGTAGCTGTAGCCTGTGTTTTTAGTCATACCTTCTGCTTTTAGTTTTCTGGAATGTTAAGTTTGAGCAAAGAAACTGAATCCCTCCCCCAAAACACAAGTCTTAAATACAGATTCCAATACTGAGTATTAATGGATACAATTTAAATCTGTCACTGTTGTGAAGAGGCATGCCATTCCTTGAAGGTCTCCAGATTTGTGTATCTGCAAGGCTGGGAGGGAATACTATTTCAGATTGGCCACAAAGTGCTCTTAATAGCTTTCAAATGGTAATAATTGTGCCTGGTTGAGGGTTGACTAGTACTCACAAGGGAACTACTTGAAGAATCTTCATTGCCATGAGAAATATCTCTACCATATTTAACCCTAAATACATGAAATTGAACAATCGTAAGAAATATTCTGCATAAGAAAGGCAAAATATTTTGTCTCTCCTCTCTCCTTTAGGGAGTTTCATGTTTCTGCATAGCTTTGGGTGGGTTTTAAAAGGAGTTTAAGTTTTTGTCTCCATTTAACCACTGGCAGGGAAGATTTCTTTTAACCCAAGAGATAAGTTATGCTAGAACATTTTTGTTCTGTTCTTTAGCGTAAAAAAGCATAAAGGGAGAATTTCCTAGTGAGCTCTGTTTACACAATCAGAAGTAAAGTTTAAAAAAAATACTTGAGCCACTGGAGAGCTCAAGATTCAGTTGTGAATGTAAGTTACATAAGTAACGTATGGATTCATGTACAACTGCATGCTGACAGTGGAGGGCAAGTGTCGGATTCCTCTTCATCATTTGGAGAGACTGTAGCCATGAAGACAGACATAGCTTAGATCTTAGCTGTTCTTAAAAAGTCCCCAAACCACCTGATTTCTGAAGGGAGCAATGTAAGCTGGTTGTCTTTTCTTTAATGACAGTGTTACCCTGTCCCCATGTACAGGGTGTAACATGCTATATTGAACAGTGATGGTAAAATGCTAATGACCTGCACAGCATGAATATACTTGTACAAGGACACACAGCTTTTAAGAGTTCAGTAACATCAAGAGGTAATTCAGACATACTGTATTTATGGTTCAGTTTCTTGAGAGTAATTTAAGATGGTTCATGTGTGTTCCAGTACCAGATACTTGATTCAAATCAGATGGTTCTTTTGAGCAGCACAACTGATGAAACTTAATGTCTGATGGTTGTGCTTTGATTTTTTTTTTACACTAATGTTTGAGTTTCCACTGAAGATTCTCCCATAGCTGTGGCATTTAAGGAATTTATAGATGACAGATTTTTATGATGTTTTGTAAAAGTGGTGCTCAGACACCTAAGAAGGTGAAAAACTTTCTTTCCCTTTGTGTTGCTGTTTTCATGAAATATACAGCAATTTGATCTCACATTCTTAAAAAGTGCTTTTTTAATCACCTCTGTGCCAAGTATGGTTGAAATAATATCATAGAGGGTGGAGCAGATTACACATTCACTATTTTATTGCGTTAAGATTATTTCTTAGGACTGTGGTCTGAAAACAGCAGTCTTAAAAGGTATTGGTTCATGTAAGCCACATATAGATAGGAAGACTGGGGTGGGAAGAGGCAAGATGTACTGTCTAGTACAAGGAGATAGTAAGTCTTAAGTTTATTCTCAGAATTTTGTATAACTTGGTCAGCTGCTTTCTTTCCCCAAAAAGGTATCGAGGTATTTAGCCCTTCTTGTCCTCTGATCATTGTTCAAATTTTAAGCTTGTTGTGCCTTGCAGAACTATGGCTGGAAAGGAGTATGGTTGTTCTTTCATGCTTGAATTTATTAGGCAACAGGGAGAGGGAAGTTAGTTCAACTAAAGGCACTGTTGACACACGACCAAATATAAATTATTAATCCAGGCGCTAAGTTAGAAGGTGTCTGTTCATCAGAGCAGAGAACTTCTGGGACAGCCTATAGCAGAATCTTTGGAAGGGCAAAAAAACCAAAATCGGCGTCCCCCCCAGGTGGCGTTAATATGAAACCTGATCACAAAATGGAATCGACATTGAGTAGTAGTGACCTGTTGATATAGGGGTGTTCTTCCTGGTTCGGTGTTATTATATAAGAACTATAGGGAAATGAGATTATGGTTGAATCAGTATCAGTAGCTTGCTGGCCAGGGACTGTTAAGGATTTTCATGTCCTCATGCTGAACACAAATTACAGAAAGATAAAGTTTAAAGTTTTGTTTTTAAATTTAAATATGTAAATTTTAACATCATGTGATTACTGATGAAGTGGGTAATTGCAGTTGCTTTACATGACTCTTTACTTAGCGCGTTTCAGTAGCAGTGATATTTACAAGCTAAATACTGGTCTATTTTGAACGAGACACTTTTGTGAAAGGAAAATGGTTTTTGCATCCAAGTGATTGAGCTTTTTACCCTTTTTTGTGCTCTTGACTCCCACTCTTTCTTCAGTGTCCCAAGCAGGCTTTAAGTAGTACTGCACCAAGCTAGTACGGACCTAACCTGCATGTGAGAACAAAGAAACAGCGAATCTCTTATGTCAGAGTTGTGAAAAGAGTGAATCTGTTGCACTGTCCTGTTGAAGATTCATGGGTCCTTGAACAGTTCAAGTGCCTCTGAAGTTTTCATCTATGGGTTGCAGTAGAATATATGCTTTTATCCTTTGAAAAATTGGACAAGGATGCAAGTCTACTAAATACAGAGGCAGGGGAGGACTTTCATATTGCAATAAGTTAATATTCATGTGTCATTCTCTTAATTCTAGAATACTGTGGGTAATGCTAAGCCTAAGGAAAGAGGTAATGAAATTCTGTCATCTCCTGAAAAGCAGGAGAAATTTAAAGAACAGAGGAAAGCAACAAGTAATGCAAAGAAAGACAAGGATGAAAAGACATTGAAGACTGAGAAAAGAGTTAAGCAACCTGATAAAGAAGGAAGATTGACTGTCATCTCGGAAAAAGGCAAGGTCTCAGAAAAGAATATATCTAAGAATGGAAAAGAAGATAAAGAGAATATATCAGAGAATGATATGGAATATTCAGTAGATGCAGAAATTGAGAAGAAGCCTGAGAATGACAATGTAAAGAGTCCACAGGAAAACACAAAAGAAACTAAACGAAAACGTGGAAGACCGCCGATAACACCTCCAACAGGTATGTAGCTAAACTTAAATGTTTAGGCCATATATCAAAACCCTTCTAAACTTACCTAAAGGAATGAAAAGTATCTTGCTCTTTCACAACCTAAGTTTCTAGAAGCTTTAAAAAAATTTTAAACTTGTCTTTGTTCAGGCTTGATTAGGACAGCTGAGAGCATACTTGTTAGTCAGATTTGGAGCTTCAGTGGTTTGGTCAGAGAGGAGATTTAGGCAAGTAATCTTCCTATATTATAAGATATGTCTGCAGTAGGATTAAATACTACTATGTAGACTTTGGAAAGCCAGGTGAAACTACTTATGCAAGTCCAGTTTTTTAAGTTGTGAGGCTTAGGAGTTTATGTTTTGAAGAGTTTTGCAGCTTTGTATCCAGTCAATTTTTGTTCTATCTAAATACGTAGAACCAAGTTCTCAGACACTGCAGCCAATAACTTTGGAGTTAAGACGTCGGAAAATACCTAAAGGAGGTGAAGTTCCATCAAAGCGCCTCAGGATTGAAAAAAACTTCTGTGAGTATTTTTTGGTATTCAACTCTCACAGTATTTTTACCTATGAGTTCTTGAAGCTTAAGTGGAGGGGGGGAAATGTCTGTAGTATTAACCTTGAACTGTGATACATGAAATGGCTGAAATGCAGCACCTGTTTTTCTTAAACTGGCCATTCATCATACTGAAATTCTCTCCTAAATCTTGGAAGCTGCATTTGGATAAAGGAGACACAAGCTGCAAGTCTTGATGCAGAAGTTAGTTAACATAGGGGAGGCAGTGATTATATTGCCTCCAATAAGTAGAAGGTTATAAAAGCCTTTTTCGAGATGTAGAAACTCTCTAGTTACTAGATGGAGGATCTACCATATTGCTTAGCAAAGAAACTGTAATACTAGATAAATATGTCACTGCAGTCTAATAGTTTCTACTTTATCTTGGTATGTTGTGTAGTGATGTTGAAGAACTTGAGTATGTTGATGAGGAGAGAAAACTGTATTTGCTTATAGTAGTATCATGAACAAGGGGATGCAGATCTGAAGAAGGCTGTCTTTCCCTTCCTTAGGACCACAAAGTCTTAAAACTTCAGTGCACATACATTACCCAGCTTAGGGTCAAAGTTGTTTGTGTGTCTGAATTGTCTCATCTAACTTCTGGTATTACTATGTCTGTGGGACAGTTGCTGTTTAAAGCAGTGTTTTACCAGTAAGATATTGATCAGTATTCTTACTTCAAATCTGTTACTAAAAGAAAATTTTGAGACACCTGTAAGATAAGATTTTGCTCTAGTTTTATGTGTATTTATAACTGCTAATATGATTGTAGCTTTTACAGAGAGGTGTAATCACCAGGGCTGTTTAGCTTTTGCTATTAAACTCAGTCCTTAAATGCACTTTCAAACTGGGAGGGGACATCTTTAACTTTTGCTTGTGAGCTTATTTAGTAATTCTGTAACTGCATGGTACTATTAAATTTGTCTATTCCAGCTCAGGAAAAATTGAAGAACTCTTCAGATAACCCTGAAAGAGACCAGATCAGGAGACGATCTTCAAGACTCTCGTCTAGTATTAGCCATGAGATTTTAAATACCGATCATGTCACAACTTCAACAGAAATTCAGCATTTGAAAGATGCAGTATCTAACCAAAAGGAATCTGAGAAGGGTAAGCAGCTTCCTGGTGTAGTCTAGATTTGTGGTGGCATGGCAGTAATCTAGTTGTTGCAAGCGCTATATTTTCACTTGCATAGCCTGCAGGCTCTATATTTGCAATTGCAATCTGATTTCATCAGCAGTGCAGAGAAAACTCAAGGAAAGTTTATATCTGTTTCTGCTGCCTGGATTGCCTTTTACTCTTGATTCTCTCTCTGTCAGTAACCCTAGCTTTTAACCTTTGTGTGATGGGAGCTTTTCCAGTAGAGGGATAACTGGCTGGGGTAACTAGCCTTGCAAAAGCAGAGCTCTGTAGGTCATAAAATAACTTAAAGGAAATGTTGTGGTTGGGGTTTTTTGCCTTTTTTTTTTTTTAAGGGATGCAGGTTATGCTTGTGAAAATAAGGTGATCACACAGTTTTAACACTTTCAGTTTGAAGAAGTAACCCAAATGCTAAACTTACAGTTTAATCCTCTTGTTGGACACTAAAAACATCAAATGGGATGCTTTTATTCTTTGACTGGGTGGAGATAATGCTCCCTTTTTTTGCCCTGTGCTTCCCTGCCATTCCCTTTCAGGGGGAGCTCTGATAATGGTTTGAGGAGACCTGTCCCATTTTAGGCTATAAAGAGTTAGCAGCCTGTGTGTTTCTAAGCAGCTCTAAATTTAGAGGGTTGCTACAAGTAGCTGTGTTGTAAAAACTTGATTTTGTGTTAATGCAACAGCAAGCAGTCTCAGCGTGGGTGGGTATCTGTCACCACTGTAATGTGATGAACATACACGTTAGTGTTCTGGAATATGCTTTTGTGTGCGTTTTACTCAATGAAAATTTTTTTCTCCATTTTAGTCCACTTAGAAATTCCTGTTGAATCTGACCAAAGGTTCAGTGAACAAGGGTTGCCTGGAAACGCATCACATAGCACAGCATTCAGTACGGATGCCAGTTTACAGGAAGAAAAAGTTGAAGACACTGAGTCTTTGTCTGTAACTGTCCGAACTCAAGAACCTTCTGCTGCTACAGGTTCAAATCTTGATTTTGTATTTAACGTTGATACATTTAAGGCAACTGATGCTAGGTGTTTTGTGCTTGTATGTGTGTCACAAACAAAAGTTGTGTGTTCTTGCAATGTTAACCATGGGGCGGGGGGGAAATGCATATTTTTATTCCTTATGGACTGAGTTTTGATATTATGCTTTGGAGATTGACAGCAATCTCCCAAAAAGTGGCAATCATAATTTTTAAATGACTGGATGTAATATTTTTAGCATGTGAATGGTGAAACTAACAAATGCCTGTTTTCAGGTTATAATTTAATGTTTGTAATTCTGGATTAAGTTGGACTAACATCTTAAAAGATCAGGTTCTTTTGTAATTTCTGTGCTGCAGGTATGTGGTAGCCTTGATGTTTGGGAATCCTGATTGTGGATTCCTATACCCTTATGTTTTGGCTTTTGTTGTACTTAAGTCCTAGACTACTTAGAGGTTTTAGTGCAAATTTATGAAATTGTTCAAACATTTCAGTGTCTGTCTTAATGTATATATTCTATTTTCTCTTGGCTGGGGAGTGTACTTACCATGCTTTTTCAAATTAAAATTTCCTATGCAGATAGTAGACTATGCCGAAATAGTGCTGTCCTGTGATTATTTTTTGTAACTTTAATACTTATATCTGCAGCTAACTGGGGAAACTTGAACTACAATTTCCCTGGTTTATGCTCTGTCAAAGAAGCTTAATTTTAAGTAGAGCAGAACATTTAGAGGGATTTACAGTTGCACAGCATTGCTAATCTGTATGTGCTAGCTTTCATCCTGTTTGTTGGTTATTCCAAACTTATCCTCCCGGTTGCATGTGTCCTCTTTCACCCACTCTTATGTAACTGTACAAATTAAATGTCCTTTCCCTTTGCCACTGATGTGCACCTTCAGTGCAGGAAGGAATTTACCTCTTTTCCTTTGCTCAGGTTTGATGTATAAATGGTCTTTTACTATTTAAAAATTAGAGCTCTTCTGATCTTGCTCTCCTTCCTAACCAGGCTGATGATATTACCCACCTGTATTCTAACTATGGTATATCCAGACTCTTTTCAGTTGATGTGTGTTGGGGCCATGCTTTTACTTCCCTACATTCTGGTGGTGAGTTTGCAAGATAGTGAGCGGCTGCAGATTCTTTTTGCTAGTCAGACTGCTGTGTCCTTTTCAGTCCATTAAGTACTTTTGGGTTTAACTTTTTTTAAACTGATGTGTTGTAGCTTGTTTTGCCTCATGAAGGCAAAATCACTGTTTGGCTGTTGTACCTGAACAGAACATTAATCTCTCTGACACCAAGGAAATGCCATTACTCTCTGTATTGGCTCTGAGTACATGAGCTATTGACAGCCTGCCTGCAAATCTCTGAAGCAAAGGAAGGATGTAAAAAGTGTTGCTCCTTCCAGTGGCTATGAATTTGTTCTTCCCCCTCTTGTAGCAGGTGGAACTGATTTAATGTACACTTTAAAGTTTAGGTTGAATACTTCCTCTGGGTAATTGCAGTGTAGTATCACTGGTTTCCTTAAGGTCATGTGCTGACAACTGGTGAAGCTTCTCACAAGTGCTTTGTCAGGTACTGCTGTAGTAGTCTGCTGTCTGGGTTAGCTAAACTGGTACCCTGTCTAGAAGTTTGCAATGCCAGCAATATTAGCAGCTAGTGCTGTGAGCTCTTTCCTTCAGAATTTGAAGTTCCTCTCCTCCAAGGTGCCCTTGAAACTGAACAGGCATCCTTGAATGTAATTTTAAGATGAATAGCCATGTCCTGTTTGCAAATTCTCATGCTGAAGTAGCTTTTGTGGATGGCAGGAGGGGCTGTCTGCTGTAGCAGCAACAGAGCATTCTTTTTTTTTCTTCCTTCTTTGGATCTCGGGAAGATGTCCGAGGAGTTCTTAATGGAAAGACTGCAGACATTTGTGTCACTGGGAGTGCAAAGAAATGCTAAAAAACAGTGGTGCTTCTTGATCCTGTTGGAATCTTGTGCTTCAGGCAAGCAGAAAGAGTGGTGGCTGTTGTGACTCCAGTCAGGCATGTGAGAAGGTGTGCAGGTACAGGCATGGCTCCAAACAGGTACAGTGAACTGAATTGTTCTGAGGTGAAGTGTGCAGGACTTGCACCTTAGAGACAGCTCTTCTAAGAGATAGAGCAGGCTGTAGCAGTTTTGAAAATGGAAAGAATTTTTAGTATGTCTGAAAATACTCACTTTTCAGCCTCTGACAAACTATTTAATAGCAGAGAAGGTATGGCAAAGCTTTCCACTACAGTGGATACAGTCACCCTTTGGACATGCTTTATATAGGAAAACGGTATGACAAAATGCTTTTTAACTTCAGTGATCTTGCACGATAAACTCACTGCATTTCTTAAAGTTTGGTTTTTAGCTGACAACCATTTAGCTTTTATTTTGTAAATTCCTGCAAATTTTCAGTTTTAAGTGCAGCATTTTTAAGATGACACTTCATGTTTTGTGTAATCTTTTGGAGGTACTCATTGCAGTATAGATTGACAAACCACAACTTCGATAAGGTCTGAGAATTTGGAGGATGGTAAATCTTGGCTTTTTGAAAGAACACAGTGTATTAACAGTATGGAAAAACTGTGTTAATGGTTGCAGGTGTTCTTCAAACAGTTAATGCAGTATTAAGAAGGCATCTGCTGCTGTTGCCTTTGTAAAATAATCCAGAAGTAGTGTCACGACCCAGACTGGACAGACCAGGGAGTCGTGTTTAATTCAAAATTCCCTCGGGCTAAATTAAGGTGGAACGACACCAAATGATCAGTTAAAGATTTTATTCATGACAGAAGCAAACTGAACTGGGGAGGCGTGGTAGTAGGTGGCAGGGTTTCTCACAACAGGAATTGGCGTAAGACTACTTCTGTAAACTGTGTGACCATATACATCAATTCAGGGAATAAGGAGATCCCTCCCGTTGAGTCACGAGGTTCAGAGCAGACCCCATTGCTTTCCAGACTCCTCCTCAGAGAAGGGTCTAGGGGCGGCTGGATCCACTCTTAGTCTCAGACTTGGTCAACGGTTTATGTCTTGAAAGGGATGAGGTTGTAGGGATTGTGGAAAAGGAAAGAGAGAAGATGACAGAGAGAGAAAAAGGAAGAGAGAAAGATTTCACCAGTCCTGGGTCCAGCGTTGGTCCAGTCAGCCGAGGGGTCCAGTCCCGGTGGGCTTGCGCACCCAGGGCTTCAGTTTGTGTCCTTTTATCATCCTTGCCCCTCCTTCGGGCGGGCACCCAAACTTGTCAAGTTAATGAACAGTTTGTGAACCTTTGGGCTTGGGGGTTGTTTGTGGAGTAACTTTTCCTTTCCTGCAGACACTGTTTGATCTTTGTATCAGAACAGCTTATTAGAACAGGGAGCTGGGCACCCTCCAGCATGCCCTCCCCCTCCTGTTGCTGATGTCTGAGCTGATGGGCTTTTCACCTTGGCTCCTTGCTGTGCAGGGTTTGTCTTTAAGCAGAACATGCCCCACCACAATGTTTGAGACATTAACTCTTTCAGTCTCTCACAAGTAGTCACAGAATATTCTCAGAAATAAAGATGATTTTACTTGGTACCATAACATGTATAATCACAAAGCTTTGGGGTTAGTGGTTAAATACTATTAAAAATGCCTCCTTCAAGGGCATCTACTTCCTTTCTTAAGTACTCATTTAGGATGCAAAGCTTTTCAGGGTGCTTCACAATGTCTTAGTTTCAAGTAACTATGAAATCAAAGGTGTTTTGAAAATTCTTACTGGTGTATGTGAACTGCAGTGTTGTCATAGCTGTATGATCATCTTCAGAGAAGACTTCTATTGAAAAAAGAAAAGTTTGGGGATCTGAGTTCAGGGCTATAATGTAGCAAGAGCTGGTACATACTCAGCAGTATGTGTTAGGGGTTACAGCAAACAAATCGCTTCTACTGACTATGAAAGAACAAATAGACAAAACGGGCTTGGTTGTGTAAAAAAGTTATTTCTCTGTATTTGTTGCTGATGGGGAAATCTCTTCCATGAAAAAACTTTAGGGAAATGATTGACAGATTTAAGGGTTTGAGTTGAACTAAAATACCAGCAGATTCTTTTCCTCTGCTTGCATACTTACGTTCTCTTGAGATGACAGTTGCATTTTATAATTACCTTGTTTTTTCCCTTGAAATTGTATAGTATGTGTTGGGGTGAGATGCTATGTTTTGTGAGGGAGGAAGTAGGGAGAGGAAATCACATGTACATTTGAAATTTATAAGGTAGAATTTCTGAATTCTGCTTTTTCAGCATTTGGGGAGCATAATTTTGGTGGCAGGTAGATGGGGCAGGACACCAGTATAATGCTGGTGTGTGACTGAACCATTGGGAGTTCAAAAAACTCTGATCCCTTTGAATACCTTTTGCCGTTATTACCACTTCCCTCTGACTTCCTAGTGTATATATTGCTAAGCATTTGTCATTTGGACTTAAACTGGGGAGAATTCCTGCTGAATGTGTAATACCTACATGTGTGGTGTCAGTCACACTGATGTGACATGTGGGATGTGGCCTTCTCCTGAGATTGCTTAATTGGATACAAGCAGTAAAGCTGTGGGAACATGACTTGGTTTGCTTGCCTAACCAAAGCCTCTGGTACAGCATGTGTACTCCTGTCAGCACCTGAGTGAGCTGGATTAAAGTTAATTCAGGAATAGGCACTCATTGAATTCTGATTTGAAGTTCAGCACTGTGGTGATGTCTGAAAATCCACACTTCTGAGCGTGGATTTTTGTTGTGGCTTAACCCCAGCCAGCAACTAAGCACCACGCAGCCGCTCACTCACTCCCCCTGCTACCCAGTGGGATGGGGGAGAAAATCAGGAAAAGAAGTAAAACTCGTGGGTTGAGATAAGAACAGTTTAATAGAACAGAAAAGAAGAAACTAATAATGATAACACTAATAAAATGACAACAGCAACAATAAAAGGATGGGACTGTACAAGTGATGCGCAGTGCCCACCGATCGACACCCAGCTAC